CAGTTAAGCTTTGATGTCACGAAGTAAAATATATTGTTTACCGTCTAAAGATTGAAAATGAAAAATATGCCAACTAGCTAAAAGTAAGAAAAAATTTGTCAGGAGAAAAACGTAATGCAATACAAAGGGTGGGTCCAAGTCCGACAAACATCTAAGTGCACGTGAAATACATAAAGTCAAATGTTTGCACGTGAGTTGGCGCAATAGTTTATGTTCGCGCTGATATATATGCTGGTTGGAAGTTGATCTGATGAGTGATCTGGCACGTGAGCTGGCACATAAATTGGCACGTGAGATGCCAATTTAGATGACAGAGTATATTAGATATAGGTTTAACGATTTGCGCGGTGTTACTTAACATCTTCCTCACAAAAACTTTTTTCAATGAGCAAGTAGACTGAAATTTTTATCCTTAAAATCAGTCCGTGAAAATTTTCTCGGAAAGGAAAAATTTGAAGAACAATTTTTGCGCGAAGATTGAGTTGGTTGAAAAGACTTGAAAGCAATAGAAGCCGAAGCAACTATTTGGTTCAATGCGAACTTAGCTATCGATTACTTTTAATTTCCCATCAGATTAACCTAATAGTCAAAATTTGACCACATTCAATATTCTCCAAAAAGAGATAAAACATCTAGGATTTTTAATTTTGACGTAGGTTTACGTACCAAATCTTTTCAGAAAGTTTAAGCACGAAATGTGTCCAGTTTTAGAGCTTTTGTCTATTTACTTTAGTCTTTTGATTGTCGATGATCAGTAAAAAAAAAATTATCGTTCGACATGTTCAATGTACACTTTTGCCTTAGTTTAAAGAACTTTTTGCATATTAGTTGCAGATCTGCAGAACTGATCTATTTGTCGCTGACTTCACTAAATATCTGTTGTAGTTGTTGTTGATTTAAGAGATACAAAAAACTCTTCAAAAGCAAACGAGGCAAAAAAAACTGACGCCAGAGAAATACGAGTTCAGGCTCAATTTCGGTTTACAGAAAATAGGAGGTGCACCGTTGTATCTTCAATTAAAGGAAACAATTTCATTTTCTGAAGAAAAACTATCAAGTTACGACTAGGAGACCCGTTCTAAAGGAAAAGTCCCTGACTTACGGGGGGAAAGACGAGCTCAAGATTTCACTCCGTTTGTTCTCACAAATTAAGTATCCTTTGCTCAGCTATCGAGGCGAAAGAACGCAGAAATTTGCGGTTTCTACTAACGACGAAATCGAAATTGAACGCAAAATTCTGGATCAGTGAAATAAAAAGGATTTTAACATTGAGCTGGTGAAAAAGAGTAACCAAGAGTAACTGGAGTTTAAGTGAAAGGAAGAAAGAAAAAAATTGATCCATCTTGGTGGGCTATTGTAAAATTTTCTTCACT